ATCAAGAAAGTGTCATACAGATTTACAGATTTGCTTACATGCCAATCTGATGGATGCATTTTCTTAATTGAGATTCCCTCTTACCCAAATGACTCTAGCTTGTATCAAAAGTTGACAAAACAAAACAAATAGGGGCACTATCTCTCTGTCTATCTATTTGTCTGTCTGTCTACCTACCTACCTACATACCTACCTACCTACTTACCCATTTGTCTAAGTTAGGGTTTTTATTGCCCTTATCAAAGAAAAACATTTAATTGGGGTGGCTTACATTTTCAGAGGTTTAATCCATTATTGTCATAGTGCGACATGGTGGCATGCAGGCAGACATGGTGCTGGAGATGGAGCTGAGAGACCCACATCTTGACCTTCAGGCAATATAAAATGATCTGTCTCACTGGAAGTAGCTTGAGCATAGGTGAGCTCAAAGCCCACGCAAGTGACACACTTCCTCCAACAAGGCCATACATCCTAATAGTATCACTCCCTTTGGGGACCCTTTTCTTTCAAACCATCACAGCACCTATCTAATTATCATTTACCCACTCACCCATCCAAATATCTCTTCCGAGAAAATGTGATTTAGAAAATGGGCCTCGTGGTTTAGGTCTGTAATTTCAGTTATTCAGGAAGTTGCGATGGGAGAGTCACAAGGTCTACCTGAGCTACAGAGTGAATTATAGGACAGCTTGGGCAACTTTGAAAGACTTTAACATAAGAAAGATGTGGGCCGAGGATGTAGCTCAGTGATAGAGTACTTGTTTAGCACCCCTCAATCCTGTGGTTCAGTCTTTACTACAGAGAAATTAAGATTTCGAAAAGCTACCTTCATTGCTTAGGAATACAACTGGAATTAGGTGCACCCTAATTTCTTGATTGTGTTCTTTCTATTCTTTTTTCAGAAAAGAGATTAGGAAGGATTGTTATTCTGCACATTTTGTATTCTTACATATTTTCCCTTTAAATGTTAACTCCTTTTTAGCATTGTTTGAAACTTTCATATATGTATATGTTTTGATCAAAAACATCTTCCTTACAGCTGCTCCCCTATCTCCCCCATGATGTTGCCCACTGAGACCACTTAATGAGCTCTGTGTGCAACAACCCTAGTATGCCTAGCAAATACTGTTTCACTGGGTATGTCCAGTGCTTTTAGGGTATAGAATCTTCTGGTGCCTAAAGGCTAGCCAGTAGAGATGAAGCTTCTGTAAGAGTACGAGTTTGATTTCTTGTGTTCTATAACTCAAGTATATGGCACCATTGGCAATAATACCTTACCATCAAGTTCTTGAGGGTACCTAAGGAAGACAATTGCTTTCAATGTTTGTGGAGTGGTCTACGGAATCCCAGCAACCACTAAGAAAGACACAATGCATACATACTTGGCACTGAGCTTTTTGTTTGATAGTTGATGTTATCTGGAGAGGCACTGCCTATGCATTATAGGGCGACTCCATTTAAACTTTTACACACATATATGTATGTGCCTTAGGAGCTCCTCCAGTACTGGGTTTCCAAATGGCATTTCAGTGTCTCAGTGTTAGTTATTCTTGCCCACACTCCCTCTTCTACTTTGCCCTCCTACTCCCTCTACCACTTAACCATTCCTATTTCATTACCCATCTCCCCTCCTTCACACCACAAATGCTCCATGCTGGTGAAATCTAACCTCATTGTCTTTTCCTAGTTTCCTGATTTCTGTGGGTACCCCAATTTAAGCACACATTTCTAGAGAGTCTAAGACAGTAGCCACATATGAGAGAGAACCCAGGACATTGATTCACAGAACTCATGGTAAGAGGAGAGGGTTGAATGACCCCAGCCGAGACTCCCAGCAGTAGTGGAGAGGATGTCTGAACTGGTCTTCTGTAATCAGATCGGTGACTACCCTAATTGTCAATGGAGAACATTCATCTGGTACCTGATGGAGGCAGATGCAAAGATCCACAGCCAAACACTGGGCAGAGCTCCTGAGTTCAGTCAAAGAGAGAGAGAGGAGGGATTGACTATACAAGCCAGGGGGTGTCAAGGTCATAACAGGAGAACCCACAGAGACAGCTGACCTGAGCTAGTGGGAGCTCACAGACTCTGAACTGACTGCTAGGGAGCCTGCATGGGATCGACCTAGGCCCTCAGCATATATGTGACAGTTGTGTGGCCCTCAGCATATATGTGACAGTTGTGTGGCTTGGTCTGTTTGTGGGGCTCCTAGCAGTGGGGTCAGGACCTGTCCCTGAGCTGGTTTTTGGGAACCTATTCCCTGTGCTGAATTGTCTTGCCTACCTTAATGCAGGAGGAGGAGCTTGGTCCTATCTCAACTTGATGTGTCATGCTTTGTTGACTTCCATGAGAAGCCTGCCCCTTTCTGAACTGAGACTGAGGAAGAGTGCATGGGGCAGCTAGGAGGTTGATGGGAAGTAGGGGTAGGGGACAGGAGGAGAGGAGGTAGGGGAAACTGTAGTTGGTATGTAAAATAAATGAAAAAATTTAATAGAAAAAAGGAGAGAGTTGGCTCCTTAAATTTGTCATTGGACTTCCACACATGCACATAGGTGTGAGTTCACCCTCTTTATTCCTACATTTCTCCCCCTCTACACACAACATATGCAAATAATAAATATTTTTAAAAGCAAGAAAAAAGCAATTGTTCCTACAGTCCAGGAAACTCATTAGATCTTGAGGAAGAATGTCTGTTTTTACTTGGGAAATGAAGAACATCCATAGATGGAGCTCCCAATTCATAGAGGAAATCAGTATGGAAGAGCATTATTACCCAAAATCACATTATCTTCTTCATCATTTCACAGGCTTTTTAAACTTGCTATACAGAAAGGGTTATGTTATGAAGTTTAGTTATTACTCTTTTTGTTTTTTTAGTTACTTCTCTAATATTTTGAGATTATAATACAATTGCATCATTTTACCCTTCTCTTTCCTTCCTCCAAACCCATATATACCTCTCCTTTTTATTCAAATTCATGGCCTCTATTTTTCAGTAATTCTTGTTACATTTGTATGTGCAAATGTATAATTCCTTGTTCGTTGGCTATTTTAATGAACCAGGGCATCTGCTCTTTCTAATGACGGAAACCCATCTACATTCTTTGTGGGGGACCAGGGATCTCTTCATGCTTCACTATATGGCATGAGATTATTTGCCATGTTAAATTTCCGCCCAGCTCTATCACTCCCTGTCTGTACAGACTCTACGATTAACTAGTGCTGAGATTAAAGGTGTGTGCCACCACACCTGGCTCTGTTCCCAGTCTGTCCTTGAACTCACAGAGATCTGGATGAATCTCTGCCTCCCGAATGCTAAGATTAAAGGTGTGTGCTACCACTGCCTGACCTCTGTGTTTACTATAGTGGCTGGCCTTTTCCTCTGATCTGCAGGCAAGCTTTATTTGTTAGAGTACAAACAAAATAACACCATACTTTATGTTGGGAAATTCAGAAGAAATGGATGAATTTGTATTTGTATATGACCTAATAAAAGTAAACCAAGGTATAATGAAAGAATTTAAATAGATTTGTGACAAGCAGTGAAATTTAAAAAGTACTTAAAAAAACAAAAACAAAAACAAAACACCTCCCAAGTAAAAAAGTCAAATCCCAGCTAAATCCTACCCAACCTTTTTAAAAAAACAAAACAAACAAACAAAAAAAAAAACCAAAAAAAAAAAAAAAAACCATGGATTTCTCAGACCATTACATAAAACAGGAAAGGAAATCTTTCAGTATTCTCATTTACCCTGATATCTAAACCAGATAAACCAGATAAACACACACACACACACACAAAAAAAAAAAAAAAAAAGAAAAGAAAAAGAAAGAAAGAAAAGAAAAAGAAAACTACAGACTGATCTCTCTGAAGAACATAGATACAAAAATACTCATTAAATATTTTTAAATTCAACTCAAGAACACATTCAAAACATCATTCATCATGGTCAAGTTGATTTTTATTCCAGAGGTAAAGGAACTGTTCATCATCAACAACAAAACAGATCCATAAATGTAATATGCAACAAAAATGGACTCACAGACAGAAATTTCACAACTGCCTGACTGTGCATGAAAAAAGTCTGCCATGATCCAACAGCTCTTCAGAAGAGAGGAGGAGTGAGGGGAATGTAACTGATGTAATAAAGGCTATATACAACAAACTATGGTCATTATCATGCAAAATCAGCTGTTCTCAATCTTCCTAGTGCTGTGACCCTTTAATACAGTTCTCCATGTTGTAGTGACCCCCCAATCATAAAATTATTACGTTGCTACTTCATAACTGTGATTTTGCTACTGTTATGAATCATGATGTAAATATCCAATGTGCAGGATATCTGATATGTGACACCCCCCCCCACACACACACACAGGGGTCACACTCCACAGGGTGAGAACTGCTGCACTAGGCCTTTAACTTACAACCTTTCTTCAACTTGTTCGTTGGCTATTTTAATGAACCAGGGCATCTGCTCTTTCTGATGATGGAAACCCATCTACATTCTTTGTGGGGGACCAGGGATCTCTTCATGCTTCACTATATGGCATGAGATTATTTGCCATGTTAAATTTCTTGAACAACTGTGGTTACAGATCCGTACCACTAGATCTGGCTTGGTTTTGAATTTTTAAAGGTAGACCTTAAAATGTAATATTTACCTGGCAACTTTATATAATTGGATGAGAAATTCATGCATTCCTAGATGCTCCAATTCTGTAATTATATAAGAAGACTATTTCTAAATACTGGGTTATTTATGCCTCTGAAATCTACTAATATTTCTGACTTTGTTGGCTTTAGTGTTTTCTTTGACTGATGAATCTATTTCTTCTACTATATCTTCAACGCCAGAGATTCTCTCTTCCATCTCTTGCATTCTGTTAGTTATACTTGCATCTGAGGTTCCTGATCGTTTACTCAGATTTTCTATTTCCAGCATTCCCTCTGTTCGGGTCTTCCTCATTTTTTCAATTTCCCTTTTCAGGTCTTGGACTGTTTCCTTTATTTGTTTCATTGCCTTTTCATGATTTTCTTTCAGTACTTTATTGTTTTCTTCCAGGACTTTATTGTTTTCTTCTAATTTGTTTGTCCTTTCCTCTAGTTGTTTATAGTGTTCTTCCCATTTTTTTGTCTTTTCCTCTACGCAAGCCTCTAACTTCTTCATGATGTTATTCATAAGGCTGTTTTCTTCTGCTTCTTCCAATTTTTGATGTTCAGGTCTAGATGTTGGAGGAAGACTAGGTTCTGGTGATGCTGTATTGCTCTTCATTTTGTTGTATGTACTTCTGCCTTGACGTCTGCCCATCTCCTTGTGGTCCTTGTAGTTCGTTCTTGGTCTTATCAGAGCACTTGGTTCAGACAGAGCTGACAGATTCAGGAAGTCTCTCTCTCTTGTCCAGATGGGAGCTCTCTTGTCCAAATGGAAACTCCGGGGCAGGATGGAAGCTCTTATCTAGACGGGAAGTCCGGGGCAGGATGGGAGCTCTCTCTGGTCCAGAAGGGAAGTCCCGGGCAGGATGGGAGCTGGGGGCAGGGCGTGGAGATTGCAGGGTCTGCCGAGGGTCTTGGAGAAGGGGATCCTTCCCGGTGGGGCTAGAAGGGAACCTGCCTGGTGGCCAGAACCTGGGGTCAAGTTGGGCGGGTCTTCCCCGGAGTGGCTGGTGCCCAGGGATGGGGTCCAGGCTGGGCCCAGATATTTACCTCTGGTCCAGAAGGGAAGTCCAGGGCAGGATGGGAGCTGGGGGCTGGTCTCTAAGTCTCAGGAAGTGGCTGGGGTCTCTGGCAGATGGGCGTGGGGGCAGGGCGTGGAGATTGCAGGGGCTGTTGGGGGGCTTGGGGAAGGGGATCCTTTCCGGTGGGGCTAGAAGGGGACCTGCCCGGTGCCAGGGACCTGCCCAGTGCCCAGAACCTGGGGCCAAGTTGAGCAGGTCTTCCCCTGAGTGGCTGGTGCCCAGCTGGGCCCGGATACTCACTCTGGTCCAGAAGGGAAGTCCGGGGCAGACTGGGCGCTGGGGGCCCGTCTCTAAGTCTCAGGAAGTGGCTCAGGTCTTGGGCGGAAATATACTAATTTTTCTGGTGATGAGAGAAGAGAAATGACATTTTTGTTTTACTTTTCTGTTTTTGGTGAAATTTCTTTTTATTTTTAGAGCTAAAGTGGCTACTGTTAGGTAAAATTAATTTTACTATTTTGCTTGTGGGGAAAGTCATTCTCAAGTGGTCATACATCCACAAAGGACGCAGACACAGGTACCCTGGTCTAGAACTCAGAACCACTCTGCTCCCCCTGAAATGGAAGAGACAGAAGGTCCCTGACAAGAAAGGAGGAGGTGGCTTCGGTGTCCTCTAGTGTTTTGTTTTGCTTAAATAAAAACAAAAACCAGAAAAGAACCCGAGTCCACACCTCAATTCTGATCATACCTCCCTGACTGGAAAAGTGCCACTTCTGAATCATCATCAGTTGTGAGCACCTGAACCCTCTGCTGCTTAGAGCCTCTCTATGCAGGTATTGACAATTACTGCATTGTGTGGCAATGGCTGGCACCAAACAGACCATGCTCCTATCAGGCTCCATGAAGCCAACCACCCTCAGTCAGTAAACCTGTTGGACTTGTTTCCTTTCTTGTCCCCAGTGACTGTCATTATTTTCCAGCCTCCCAGCCCTGACCTGGCTGATAGAGATCAGATGGTGACTGGATAGAAGCCTCCCCAGTCTTGGGTCCATGATGTACGCGTAAGTACTCAGCTTTTCTCAGTGAGCTGACAGTGGGGACAGATTTACATCTCCTGGGACAGGCTATGCAGATTCTGACTGGTGGAAATTCTTTTAACTCTGTGAGATTATATTTTGTGTTGAAGTTTTGTATCATTGATTTTTGAATGAAACAAAAGGGTCCAATGTGATGCTTTCTTTTTAAATATAAATTAAATATAATATATTCACAGTATATTTTAACATTTAGATAGCTCTGCTTCAAAGAGTAAAATATTAAGCATAGTTAATTTGGTTTCTTATTATGCTCAATATGATCTGTTTTTAATAGTGTATTTTTTAATGAAATGTATTATGGGACAAATATATATATATATATATATATATATATATATATATGAAGAATATTGAATTTTTTATTTGTTTAATTCCAAGTAAAAGGATGACTACAATTGGATTACTGTATGTATATCACATGAATGTAATTGTTAAATTAAAATACTCACGTGTAAACAATTATTGAGTTAACAAAAACTTGGACTTCAAAATAAATGATCACTTTTCATTTTTTACTAAAATTATTGATTTTATGTAGTAGTATTTGTGCTATTGGTTTAGACTGAAATGGATAATTAATATGTGATCAATGATTTCTTCCAAACTCCTTATAGCCCAAACTTGTTATTTTATCTCTCAAATAGGTGCTTAGTGTCTCTCTATATAAATTTCTCATGTTTCCATTGATCAATGTGTGGAGCTTAATTCTGATTTTGTGATCCTTGTGATTGTTTAGTTTTGAGTTTGTCTTCTATGAAATATAATATTTTAAGCATGTGGACTGTCATATTCTTAAATGATAAGTAATTTTTACATGCCCCAACTTACTTACCAATACCAGCATGAGCATGAGAAAGACTATTTCATGCCTAATGCTGACCCAGACAGATCCTATCCTAATAATATAATTCACCATGATAGTTATATTTTTAAGTATAAGAAAGTATATGTATTATTTAGCAAGATAAAATGTACAGAAGTGAATATGATAGGTTAACAATTTCAATGTAAAAAGATATATCAAAGAACTTGGAGTCTTCATCTACCTTTATCTCAGAATTCAGTGGCATGCCTCTCTAACAGCCTGGCTCTCTTCCCTTCCCAGTTTATGGCATCACCTATACCTAAGTTCCTACTCTGACATATTATTATGATCTCTTTTCTACTTTGGATGTTTTTTTTATACCTTTGTTATACTTGCCTGTCTACTCTGACCATTTTACTATGTTTGATTTGACTCAGAGTGAATAGTTCTGAGTAAGGACCTCTAGACAAGAGTTGGTTTTTTTTTTGTTTTTTTTGTTTTGTTTTTTCTTTTTATTTGATCTTCTCTCATACAATGCATGCTGACTGCAGCCTCCTCTCCCTTCACTCCTCCCAGTTTCCACCCCCAACCTCCTTTCTCCCACAGATCCACTGCTCTTTCATTTCCCTTCAGAAAAGAGCAGCCCTTCCAGGGATAGCAACTGAACTTGGAATAACAAGATGCAGTAAGACTAGGTACAAAGCCATCTGTGCTTAGCTCAATTGTCATTAGAGAATCTTCCTCACGCAGCTGATGGGAGCAGATACAGAGACCCATAGACAAACATTAGGCAGAACCATGGACAGGAAGATGGGGAGGAAGGATTGTGGATGACACAAGTTCTTAGCACAGACATCCTAGCCCAAACTGTGGACTGATCATGAGGACAGTATGAGGCTAGTTAGTGGATTCAATGCATTCATTAGCAAAGGTACTTTGACCAAGGAATTTCATTTCATATAGTAAATGAGTGAGAAAGCCATGGCATCTTAGAAAAGGGCCCCAGCTACCGCTGAAGTGAAGAGGAAAGGGGATTATTTATTTATACATGTTTTAGAGCCAGGTTTCCACTCACCTGGGAAAGTCCTTTACCTCTCTAGACTTCATGTTCATACATAAAATTTAGGAAGACGTAATAGCAAAACAGAAGGGGTAAGAGGGCATAACCATTAACAGAATTTGTGATTATCTTCCAGGATAAATACAAAGCAATTTTGGGGGTTTGCTATTATTTTAATTTTGGCATTATTAGTTTATTTGTTTTTGTGAAATACTAATGAGGTACTATTTCATATAGTCTGTATTTTAAGTAGTAAGGTTTTCATTGTGGAGATACTTAAGATGTGTGAGTATTTGATGTATAACATTTTTTTTTTTTTTGCTGTGGGTCTTGGTCAAAAGTATTTCTAAATCAATAAGTGAAATAATATTGAAGTCCATTTGAATAATTACATTCTATGATGTCAAAGAGTTAAGAGCTAGTTAGCATAGAGAACAACAACTTCCTTAAAGTATAAGAGGACTGTTTAAATTATCCCGGAGCATTGTTGTCTAGTTTTGTTTCATTTCACCATCCACTCTGTCAGGTACCCTCTACACGTGAGGCAACAACAGGAGACACAGTTACAAGAAAGTAGAACTTGGTGTCGAGAGACAAGTCAATAAACTCTACTGTGATGGCTGAATGTGACACATATAAAAACCGAGAAGCACACAGAGGTTATAATGAAACTTTCTGCCCAATCTCATGAAAGGATCTCTAAATAATGTAAGAAATGATGGTCGCCTTTACAAACATGTAGAAATGGGTTGGAAGAAAATAAGTACATGTTGTGGACTAAGACAGTCATTTGAAGTCATGAGATTTTTTTAAGTACACTTCCATGAAGACCCAGGATATCATGATTGGTTTAGGAAGGGTCTTTGTGTCAGATTAAATATCTCTAAACTTCATTATAAGAGTTTGATAAAAGTGGAAGGAGGAAGGAATGATTAAATTTGCTATTGAGAGCTTTAAGGGAACCAGCTCACTTGGTGACTCTATTGTCATTTGGTTACAGCAGCAAAGCTTGATAAGGGGAGAGGTGGGGTTGCTTCCTCGCCTATGAGGAATGCACCTTCCCACATTTAGTGACATCCCACAGTCTTCCTTCAGGATACTGAGGAAATCTGCTGTGATGTTCTTTTCCTCTAAGCTGCTACAATAGTCATTCCTAAAGCACAGTCGTTCACCCCAGGCACACATAAAACATTGAGTATCTGCCAATCGACACTCGTCTCTCTATAAATTTAATTGCCTTCAATCATGTCTCTCCAGATAAAAAGAATGCTCTCTTTATTCTTAGTGTTAAATATATTTTCTGTCTCATTGCAGACCCTCAATATTTGTATGGTATTTTATGACTATATACGACTAAAGCTAAAGAATGATTATTGAGAAAAATAGGAATTGAGAAAAATAGGAAAGGTTATGAGTAAATGAAACACTCAGGTTCATGACTCATAACATTGATTAACAATGCTAATGAGATATTCATAACACAGCAATTCTGAAGATAAATAAAAAGCTTAACAATAGAGATGCTTTATTCTAAGTAAACTTGAGTTGTTCTGCTGAAGGAATCTTATCACTGAAGAGAAGAAAGCATCAGATAAGTGTTAATTAAATAGATTTTGATTTCATTCATAATTCAACAAATATTGGTTATAGTATACTAGTAATATAGTATGTACACATGACATGCCTACCTAAATTATCTCTACACATATGCTGTGTATATCTATCATGTGTGTATACATATAAATACAAGATTATGTGAAATAATAAGAAGATACATACAAACTGTGTAGCTTTGCGCCTTTCCTGGAACTCAGTCTGTAGCCCAGGCAGGCCTTGAACTCACAGAGATCCTCCCAAGAAAAAAATGTTTTCTGGTGTTTCAAATCTAAGGAGGAAATACGATAACAGAAGTGAGTTATAAACATCATAAATGTGAGATGAAGGTTGTGTACCTTTTCCTTTGAAAGATTCACTTTAATTACTTACCTGCTAAAGCCAACTTTTAGATTATATGCTAATATTCTATGACAATGGTTTTCAACCTTTCTAATGCTGAGACCCTTTAATAAAGTTCCTCATGTTGTGGTGATTCCCCAACCACAAAATTATTTTTGTTGCTACTTCGTAACAGCGATTTTGCTACTGATAGATGTCATGATGTAAATATCTTATATGCAGGACTGTCTTAGGTGACCCCTGTGATAGGGTTATTTGTCTCCTAAAGGGGTGGAGATCCACAGGTTTTCATTTATTTTGCAAACTAATCAAGACCAAAGTTTTGAAATGTATTTTAAAAACTTTAAATATTGCTGTCGTTTATTGCTTTGCACAAATGATACTTGAAAAGACCCAAAAAACATCTTTTAGCAACATTCAACAAATGCAGAAAAAAAAGTGTAGAAACAATCTGGGTCAAGATTTGTTGCTTAAAGCAGTCACTTGCAGTAACCTGTAAAAATGGTAATTTTTTTTTGTGGGAAATAATGTGGGGCTGGTTCTCCTAAGGTCATGGTACTATAAAGATATTTAGAAAGAAGTAGAAAGTTTTCATAATTTTAAAACATAGACATTTTAAGACTTAATTATTTATCATGACACATTCTGAACCCTACACATTTGAAAATAATTTCAAAATCCAAGTTCAATATCAACTCAAACTCACATCTGAGACATTTGTAGTTATTTTGGACTCTGTATATTATATTGTTTCAATTGTGTGTATGATAAAAATCTTGATTGCAAGTTTTCTGTCATTGTCCATGTTTAAGATGTAGGATCTTTTTATTTTTACAAAGTTTTATTGTTATAATTAAATGCTTGTTATTGCTCAAAACTTGAAAACAAGTGACTTTGAGGCAGCCAGTAGTTAATATGACATTGTAATTAAGTAAGAAAGCAGCCCATGTTTGGGGCATCGTTTGCATTATAAAATAAAAATGAAGCTAAATACAACTTTAGAAAATGTACAGTACAATGCACAATTAAAGGCTGTAAGGAAATTAAAGTCATTACCCCATTTGTAGGTTAAAATCATTATAAACTAACAATTTAATATAACTCAAATTTATTAAGTATTTTCCTAGTCTTGTTTTATTTTTCTTTGCGTGTTATATTTACAGTGTCTAAAGCAACATTCAGAATACATGTTTCATTGCTATGTGCTGTTTTAAAATGTTGGCTTAGATACTGGTATGTAAAACAATCTTGAAGATACATTCCAGGAAATAAGATCAGATAAAGCATTTTGGCAAGAAATAAGTCCTGAGAATAGAAAAAAAAAACTGTAAAAGAGAGTGCAAGATACATGCTGGTACTGTAGAGGAAATGAAACAGGTAAATCCTTTGATCTATATGATGGCAAACAACTGCCTTGACTCTTATCGCCTCACCTGAGAGAATCCTTGGAGAATTTTTGTGCTTGCTCTCGATTGGAGTATTTTCCTTCTTTCCTTCATTTACTAATCAGGTGAATAAACAGGTAGAGGACTTAGGGCATACACCAGTATCAAACCATCAGAAAAGCAATACAAACTGAAAGAAGGCAAGGAGGAATAGAAAAAGAAGAGGAGGAGGAGGAGGGGAGGAGGGAGGAAGAGGATAAGGAGGAGGTACTTTTATTTTGATGAATGTATTCAGAAATAGATTAAGAATCAGGTCATTTGGCTGGCTCTGATCTTTTACACTGAACACAGTTTGGGCATATACATAAACCTGAACAGAACGCTGAGGACTGATGCATCAGCATAGATACCGCCTCGAAACTTCATGAACAGTATCACCTTAACTCTCCTCTCTACTACATCAGTGTGATATTTCCTGCTCCACTGTCTATGACTTCTTGCCTGTCTTCCTTCCCTCTCTGGTCATTCACCCTTCCATGTCCTCCTACTCCCAGGCAGCTACATGTTTTGGATTGTACCTTGATTTTTGACCCCAATCTTCAATTGCTTTCATGGTCTTGGCCACCATCCTGACAGGTAAAGGAATGATTAATCTTATTTCCATAGCTTATATTCCGTATAGGTGAAGGAACAGTTGTTATTTTCATGGTTTATGTGCCAGAACACACTCTAAAAATATATTAACCAATGTGCCATTATGATTGAGTATGAGGGGCATTAGATGAGAGAATCGAGGCAAGCATCTTCAACAGAATGTGCAGAAACATTTCTGTAAAGTTAACTTGAGAAATGTGTCCTCTGTGGAGGACATGGAACTGGATTCCTTGCTTTCCGTCCATCATTGTTTGGGGACAACATACTTTCCCTGGGAACTGCTTGTGTTTTTCACTCCTTGGCCCAATCAGAGCAGCAAGAGTTCAGTTAGTATTTACTACTCTTCCAAAATCAACAAGCCATTAATTTTTATCACATTTCAACTCATTTGGCTCCATCCTTTTCTTTTGACAGAAGTTATTGAAACTTTTTTAGTTTTAGTTATTGAAAAGTTATTAAATACTAATTGCAGATAAGTTGTACAGCTGTGACAACATATAAGAAATGGTTTATTTGCTGCTCTCTACTGTATTTACAAAACTAGGGATGCTGAGTCAAGCTTTTAGTGGTGGAGAATTTGTTTTCTCTAACTTTCACAGTGCTCTCTGTTAGTTAGAAATCGGGATGATTAACATCGAGTTACCACTTATTATTCAGAAACATGGAGAAATAAGCTGCTATTAACATGAACAAACTCAGCTAGGTATTTCTGATATTTGTACATTTCAGTTTAGACTTATCCATTGTCCTACATCCCAGACACATTAAAAAAAAAAGATGTTTTTAACTAAATCAAGAATTCAGGAATCATTAAAATGTCCACTTTGTTAAATTAATAAGAAAATGTACTACTTTCATGAGTGTCATCCTGGAATTAACTTAATACATTAAACAAGGCATGTATTAAATTGTTCTTGGTGCCTAGAACTAGATTACCTGTTTAGGTTGTGTGTTGCCTGTACATTAGAATAATTGACATAAATAGTTTGTTAGAATAGAATCATTTCATTAGAATTTTATTTTCATTGATTCACATGGTAATGTTGAGAAAACCAATGTTGCATTTGTAATGTTTAACTGTTTTCTGCATTGGAAAAAACACAGGGAAGTTAGTTTTAAAACCTCATGGTACTCTTAATGAAGTATTAATATGCCTATAACTATGAAAAAAATGCATTTCATTGTACTTTTTGTAGCTTTATTTATAGCTAAATATAGTAAGTTGATTAATAGGTTTTCAAAAGAATATGGAAGCAAATACCAGTTAATTTATATATGGAAATACAGGTAGGATCTATCTGAATATGAAACCAGTAATAAGAATTTCAGACATTCTCACAGGGATAAAATCTAATTTTAAGCCCTAAGCAAAACACAGTTTGTAACTTATATTTAACTTTTCAGAAGTCATAATCCAACTACCTTATTGTTATTCCAGAATTACATGGCATTTTTTTAAAACTTGTATAGATTAGATCAGATGATTTTATTAATTATCAGTGAGTCCCTTACTATGTACTAAAAATGCAAAAATCATTTTTCAAAAAAAATTATGTCCTATAAAATTTAGTTTGAGTTGCATGACTTTGCCCAGCTTTGATCTGAGGCTTTGTGCCTAGTTTCTTTGTGTCTGGTTATGCCGTGTTCAGGTGATACTCCTGGGCGGCCTGCTCTTTTCTGAAGGGAAATGGAGGAGGAGCGGATCTAGGGGAGAGGGGAGGTGGATGGAGGACTGAGAGGAGTGGAGGGAGGAAAAATGCCATCGATCAGGATGTATTGAAAACAAAACGATAAAAAGTCAATAAGGCACAGCTTTGAAGGGAAAATGACAAGAATGACAAGCTCTTAGATGTCTCTGCATGCAGCCTTCTCACCTAGTCATTATCTCTCACATGTGACCCTTCAGTAATGTGACAGAGAAATTCTGGGACATGTTAATTTTGTTTATTGAATATGCAGATCGTGTGAGTTATAAATGAGAACACTGCTGATGTCCTTTATCTAGGGCACTTATATCTTAATCACAGCTCCTCCCTCTGTACGAGATTGCAAAATACTAGTAAAATACAAATCTCTTCAGACAACCATATAGAAAGCAAAGCGCGGAACATCACTGCTCATGGAAAATAATTGCATTTTAAATATGTGCATGTAATGTGCATGTGTGTGTATGTATGTGTGCCAGTGTGTATTTGTGGGTGTGTCTGTGTGTATTTATTTTGCCAGAAACTGGACAATAGTACACTCCATTTACAGTCTACTATAGATGAACACAGGAAAACAGAGCCAGTACTTATTTCAACTTTAAATTCATCACAACTAATAGCACTTTATGTAACTAATCTTTGAATACAAAACAAAATATTAATGATTTTAGGGATAGTATATAAAAACATTCAATATTAAAATATACTTTTCAAGAGACAGTGTCATTGACAGTCTATGGAATCTTTACAAGTCACAATTTTAATTATTTTTGTCTCTAGTGATAATCTCTCAGTCTAAGTCACAGGTGATAGCATTTGATTTCTCATAAATTATTTCTTGGATTTAAGGTCAGAATGATTATTTTTGGTTGTAAGATATGG